CAAAAATACCTAAAAAAAAAAAAAAAAAAAACAGACATTCTGACTGTGAGCTGGGGAGCCTCTCCACAGATCTGACCTGTAACTCAGTCTGGTTTGGTCTCCGTGAAGACAGAAAGGTTTAATGCCATATTGTGAAACATTCCAGACAAAGCAATAACATCTACTACTATTTGGAAAAAAGCATTTAACAAACCCTCCACCAGAAAAGTTACACAATGCGCCTTTAAATCATTTATCTGCAGTCACAAATAATTGAGATAAAGAGCGGACAGTAATAGCTTCATTATTCCAAACATTTAGTGGGTATTTGAAGATATCACACGTTTGTACTTCCACTATAAGACCAGCAGATGGCGGTGTGTTGTAATCAAATCCAAAGGAGTTTTATACTACAGTTTTTCTACGTTGGTTTGGCTCATTTCTTGAAACAGAAATGACATTCTTAAAACTATAAGTTCATTTGGCCAAACAGTCTGGTAGTTCTGCACAACGTGACAGCTCACCAGCAAAAGCTCAGATCTCTCCCAAAACTGTTCACTCATGCTTCAAAGCAGATTCCTTTCCTATATAGAGAGTCAGTCCTGTCAAAATTGCAAAGATCCTTCACAATTGCTTTGGCTCTTTTGCATTCACTTTGTGCTTTTGTCACAAATAACCTGGATGGTTCAGCACAACACCATGGATCACCTGCAAAAGCTCAGATCTGCTCCAAAACACTTTACCCATGTGTCAAAACTACATTTCTTTCTCATAGAAATAGTCATTACCCCCAAAATGCATCGTCCCTTTGGCCTTGTGTCACTGCAGCTCAAAATATTTAGATGTTTTGTCACTATGGCAGAGGTCTAACTAACACAATACAATTATGGATAAAACTGAAAAAAAGGATTTCACATTAAGAGCAGCCTCCAAAGTGTGACATTACACCATTACACACATTGCACTCACACACACACACACACTCACACACACACACACACACTGCACTCACACACACACTGCACTCACACTGCCAATGAAACTCTAACCATTTTATTCACACACATAAAGTCACTTCCATACATTAGAGTACATAAAAAGAAAATGTTTACAGTATTCTGTACATGTATTAAATATAAACAAAAAAGAAAAAAATATATCTAGCCTACAGTGCTGTAAATAAAGCAAATAAAGTTTCTACAGTAACACTTTCACTGGTTGCAGTCGTCATCCTCCCTTTGAGGGAAGAAACAACGCGCATGTCTCAACCATCTCCTCCCCTGTGATGTACGGTGGTAGAAGCTCCATGAGCATCTTTAGATGGGGAGTGAACTAGGCCCTGATGAGTGAGCCAGTTGGAAATTCACATTGTCCCACTCGATCACATAGTGTGATAGGAAGTTCTAATTTCACCTGACTGACAAATACTGTCATGAATTTATCAAATGTTCCAAAAAAAAATCATATATGATGTTCATGGTATCATGTTCTTGACTAATTTTGACAGCTGAACAGACTATTGTGCAGCTGATGACTCAGACAATGAAATCATGCTGACCAATGGAAAAAAAACTACGATATCCCACATTTGTACTTCCTTTGTCAGACCAGCAGATGGCTGTGTTTCACAATAATCAAATCCAAAGGAGTTTGAAACTAAACACACCTTTCCCAAAACCTCCCCAAACCCGCTCACTCAGCATTTTTCCACCAGATCTTTCACAGCCATCCTTTTTTTTTAACATATCACAACAACATACATACCATAACGTATCATAAGCTTAACAAGTAAAGTAACATGGAACATTTTTGTACATGCACACACTTTATAAATGAGACTCTTTGATTTTGTTTCTGATGGAAGCCGAAATGTCATGATTTGAAAAACAGTGTTCAGGTGACTGTTTTTACAACCTGCACTGGACGGCTCCTGCACGGACAGAGGCTTAGTCACACCGTCTTGTGACTGTGTGCTGTAAAGGAGAAACGTGATGAGAAAGTGGGACTAAACTCCAGCACATGTTTGTTTACACAGACAGGAAGCTCTTTGAGGAGGACTCAGACTGACCCCTTTGTGAAACCCGACCTGGGACAGTCTGAGTGATGACGAACACACACACACTGAGAATGAGCAGATAGAAAGACAGATAAATAGATAGGTAGGTGGTTTTTGAGTGTGCTTGTGTATTTGTGTGTGTTTGTCTGTGTTTTTGCATGTAATTGTGTGTTTGTGCGTCTGCGTGTGTGTGTGTCTGTGGTTGTGTGTGTTTGTGTTTGCTTCTTTTTTTGTGAATATATAGTTATTATGAATTACAAATTCAGCAGAATCTAATGTGGATGTTCAGGGTGTGTGCTGTTTTTGACAAAATTTCTAGAAAGAAAAATGTGTAAATAAATAAAATAGTTTACACCACAGAATTAGTTTAATTCCACCTGATCTGAGCTCAAAGCCGTGAGCTGTAATCCTCCTGTCCCAGTCTGTCCCAGTGTCTCTCCTCTCTCTGTACAGCTCAGGTTTAAATCAGACCTATTCTGCAAAATCGAGCTTTTAACCATGTTATAGTTGTTTCTTCTTCTCACTGACCCTCTCAAAGTTGTATCTGGAGTGATCTGTGCATATTTGACCAATATTTAATCGCTCAATGCTCTGTACTTACTTCCTTCTCTAATTTTATTTTCTTATTTGATGATTCTCCCAGGATTTTGCAGCATCATTTTGGTACAACTTTGACAACCAAGCCATAACAAAATAAGCAAGTTTCACAAGTGAATACAGTGGATCATACAAACTATAGCGTTTAGCAGAGGTCAGACTGTACTACACCTTTACTCAGGGACAGAGTCTGTGCAGTGTTACAAACTGTAGTATTATGGGATGCAACTCATCCTTAAGTAACAGATAATACTCCCTACAACTGTGCAACAACTCACTCTTATGTAACAGATAATACTTCCTACAACTGTACAACTCACTCTTATATAAAAGATAATACTCTATACAACTGTACAACAACTCACTCTTATGTAACATATAATCTGTCAATCATCACACCAATGTCACACTTCCTATGACCTTTTGTATAAAGTTGTGATTTTATATTTTATTACTTAATTTCTATTTTATTTTGACTTGCACATTTATATAATTATGTTTTATTTGACTCCTGTCTTTTGCTCTATATTTAGAATTTATTACACCATTTATATTTTTTTTACTCTTTGTTGTTATTAACCTATATTGTGATGTGTGAACTACTGTCTCCAAATCATTTCCCTTGTGGATCAATAAAGTTTGTCTAAGTCTAACAGAGTGTTTTCAGTTTGAGAGAAGAACTTAGTGAAGCGGCTGGGATGAAGATCAGCTCTTCTAAGTCTGAGGCCATGGTTCTCGACCGGAAAAAGGTGGCTTGCCCTCTCCGGGTGGGTGGGGAGTCTTTGCCTCAAGTGGAGGAGTTCAAGTATCTCGGGGTCTTGTTCACGAGTGAGTGAAGGACGGAATGTGAGATTGACAGGCGGATCGGTGCAGCTTCGGCAGTGATGCGGTCGCTGTATCGGACCATTGTGGTGAAGCGGGAGCTGAGCCGAAAGGTGAAGCTCTCGCTTTACCGGTCAGTCTTCGTTCCTACTCTCACCTATGATCATGAGCTCTGGGTAATGACCGAAAGGACAAGATACAAGCGCTCGAAATGAGTTTCCTTCGCAGGGTGGCTGGGCGCTCCCTTAGAGATAGGGTGAGGAGCTCAGTCACGCGGAAGGAGCTCAGAGTAGAGCCGCTGCTCCTCCACGTAGAGAGGAGCCAGTTGAGGTGGCTCGGGCATCTGTTCTGATGCCTCCTGGGCGCCTCCCTCGCGAGGTGTTCCGGGCATGTCCCACCGGGAGGAGGCCCTGGAGAAGACCCAGGACACACTGGAGGGACTATATCTCTCAGCTGGCCTGGGAACACCCCGGGGTTCCCCCGGAGGAGCTGGAGGACGTGTCTGGGGTGAAGGAAGTCTGGGAGTCCCTGCTTAGGCTGCTGCCCCCGCGACCTGGCCCCGGATAAGCGGAAGAAAATGGATGGATGGAACTTAGTGTAAATGTGGAGGGTTAGTGTGTCTGTGAAACTTGTGTGAATGAAACAAAACACAACTCCAAGTCTGTTTGTGATGAGAAAACAACATTATTTAAGAAAATATTGGGTCCGGTCAAGTGGTAACGGACAGAAACAGGGGCAGATTTTTTACATTCAAATGTCTCTTATTCAGAAACTAGAAATAAGTAAAGTATCAGAATGTAGGAAAGAGTTAACACTCCAACAGGGTAAAGTTAAACCTGTGATATTCTTTCAAGTTGTTGACAAAACATTAAAAAATTCATGTCGGTAACGGAGGGAATAAAATATGCAGCACTTTTTGGGCAATAAATACAAACAGTAATAACTAGCGGTTCTCACTTACATATCCTTAACACACTGGTTTGAATATTTGCTTCATATAGTTTTCTACCATATGGTACAAGATTAGGTTGAAAAACCTCTTACTTTTTGAGTCATGAGATTTTTTATTAAGAAAGGTCATGGTAACGGAGGGAAAATTGTGCAAGCAAATAGAAGGTGCATGATTTTACATAATTTGTCAACTTTTTTCTTCTGAATACTTTAATATTACTTCAAAATGAAAGGAAACTATTTCTATAAAATATGGCAAATTTTTATCATTGTAAATACTTTTTTTTTTTTTTTTTTTTTTGTCTTTGAAATTTGGGAAATAATTTTTGTTCCATGTTTCATACATGGTCTGTTTAAAACGTATGGAACTTTAGAACCAAAAATGGTACAGAAAAAAGGTAAACAGTTTCATAAACTAGAGTACATATTTATCTGTTGAATAAATTTTTATATCAGATGCATTAACTTGAATTTTTGGCCTTGCTGTTTACTTCTGCTTGACCGGGCCCTACTGTAATGCAAAACACCGGACTGGCCCTTTAACAGCCCCGTGATTTACCCGCATTCCTTCACTGAACTCTTTTGTCCAATCACCTCCGTCCTCCGTGTCTGCCGTTTCCTGTTTCTCGCATCTGCCGCGGTCAATCAGCGACGTGAGAAGTGCACGTACTCGTCCTCTCCTCCACACGGGCCTCCCTCCTCCCATCCCTTTTCTTTCCCTCTCAAAGAAAAAAAAACAAAAAAAAACACTACGACCTCCTCCTCCTTTCCTCAGAGCCCATCCCCCCTTCACCTCTCCGCTCCCGCAGCCGCCTCTGAGTACACGCGTGTCGGCCGCAGCGGACGCAACAGCCCAGCTATGCGCCAAACAACCAAACTTTGATCGGAGCCGTGTGGAGCCCCGTGAGCTGATTTTGATGCAGGACCGCGCTCTCCTGCACCACTTTTCTCTCGCCTGTGAACACGGAGACACGCGTCCCCGCCGTCTGCTGATCCCTACGCGCAAGGTAAGGCGAGTTTTGGCTGGAAATACGCGTTTGTTTTGGTTGAACAGTCGACTACTCGGAACAGATGCGAGTGCGTAAAGCCTGGCAGATGTGTAAAATGGTCCAAGGAAATTGTCTTGGCTGTGGTTCGCTAATTTGGAGAAAAAGTACGCGCGTATATTGGTTTCATCCATCAATTATCAAAACTAGACAAACGTGTTAGAAATGACTTGTAAAACTAGTACAGTAAGTGATTTTAAGAAGATTTTATTCCAATTTGATTTCAAGTTGCAGCCCACAGTAAGATCCAAAGGTAGTAAAAGAGTTAGAATTGCTCAAATTAGGTCAAAGAAATGCTACTAATTAGTTTACAGAAATAATTACCAAGATAAACAAAACTAGTACAGGTATCTATAAAGTAAAAGAAAAGATGGACATGTTATATTTTGTTACACCAAGATGCCTATACATTTAGAAATACCATTTTCTCCAACTAATATTAAAGGAATACTAGAATTGGACTACTACTATTAATGCTACTACTGCTATTACTACTACTACTATGGTTTTGACTGTACAGTATTTGGCTATTGTATCGTTCCCTTTTGAACTTTCTTCTAGTCATGTAGTTATTAGTTGTTTTAATATCACTTTGTTGTACAAGTACTACTACACGTTACGTTTGTCGACAGGAATAGATAATATATTGAGCTAAAGAATCATGAGCTGCTACTACTGCTACTGCTACTGCTACTTCTACTACTATTACTACTATTACTTTTACTATCGCTGCTACTACTACTACTACTACTACTACCACCACTACCACTACTACTACAACTACTACTATTACTACTACTATTACTACTCCTACAACTAATACTACTTCTACTACTGTTACTACTATTACTTTTGCTATCGCTGCTACTACTACTACTACTACTACTACTACAACTATTGCTGCTACTCTACTGCTGCTGCTACTACTACTACTACTACTACTACTACTACTTCTACTACTGTTACTACTATTACTTTTACTATTGCTGCTACTACTACTACTACTACAACTATTCCTACTCCTACAAGTACTACTGCTTCTACTACTGTTACTACTATTACTTTTGCTATCGCTGCTACTACTACTACTACAACTATTGCTGCTACTTTACTGCTGCTACTACTACTACTACTACTACAGCTGCTACTCTACTACTACTACTACTACTACTACTACTACTACTACTACGACAACTTCTACTACTACTATTACTACTACTATTACTACTCCTACAACTACTGCTACTTCTACTACTGTTACTAGTATTAGTTTTACTATCGCTGCTACTACTACTACTACTACTACTACTACTACTTAGGGGTGTCAAATTATCACGTTAATTGCGATTAATTAATTACAGTCAAATTTTGCACGTTATGTTTTTTAATCGCGTTAATCTCATTTTTAATCTCTAACTTTACTGTTTCTGTATGCGAGTTGCTTTATTATAAAATCAGTTTTTATTTGTTGTTGGGACAACAACACACACACAAAAAAAGCACATTTATAAAAAATTTTATTTCAGTAATTCCACTCATTGCCGGAAACCCACACAAAACGCGCGCAGTAAGAGCGTTGTAAACGTCATGTTAACGTTGGCGGCGTCAGTCGCACAATGGACGAGGTCGAAGAGCCAGTAGAACTGAGCAGCAGTGCACAGGTAAAAACACATTTGTGTCTTGGAAATTATTCTCCCGACGTGAAATATAAAAGAAAATAACAAATATAAAATCGCCTACAACTTAAATGTCACTGGTGAAAACAACCTGCATAGGCTCATGATATCTGCACTACTGTCCTATACACACACAAACACAACACACACACACAAACACACACAAACACACACAACACACACACACAAACACAAACACACACACACACACAAACACACACAACACACACACACAAACACAAACACAAACACAACACACAAACACACACAAACACACACACAAAACACACACACACACACACACACACACACACACACACAACACACAACACACAAACACACACACACACAAACACAAACACACACACACACACACACACAAACACACACACACACACACACACACACACAAACACACACCTTCATCATCGTCATCAACCTGAGAACGCACGGACCACGTTTCCTTCCGTAGTTACTGCGCGGACACCGCTGTCCTCCCGTGCGCCGCGTACGTTTTCTCGCATACGCCGCGTAAACCACGCTTCCTCCTGTGCACCTCTAAACCAGAACTAACACCAAGACTAAAACCAGGACTAACCCAGTCCAGGACTAAACCAGGACTAAAACCAGGTCTAAAACCAGGACTAAACCAGGACTAAAACCAGAACTAAAACCAGGTCTAAAACCAGGTCTAAACCAGGTCTAAAACCAGGTCTAAACCAGGTCTAAACCAGGTCTAAACCAGGACTAAACCAGGACTAAACCAGGACTAAACCAGGACTAAACCAGAACTAAAACCAGAACTAAAACCAGAACTAAAACCAGGACTAAACCAGGACTAAACCAGGTCTAAAACCAGGACTAAACCAAGTCTAAAACCAGGACTAAACCAGGACTAAACCAGGTCTAAAACCAGGACTAAACCAGGTCTAAACCAGGACTAAAACCAGGACTAAACCAGGACTAAACCAGGACTAAACCAGGACTAAAACCAGAACTAAAACCAGGTCTAAACTAGAACTAACACCAGGACTAAACCAGGACTAAACCAGGACTAAAACCAAAACTAAAACCAGGACTAAACCAGAACTAACACCAGGACTAAACCAGAACTAAAACCAGGTCTAAAACCAGGTCTAAACCAGGACAAAACCAGGACAAAACCAGGACAAAACCAGGACTAAACCAGGACTAAAACCAGAACTAAAACCAGGACTAAAACCAGGACTAAAACCAGGACTAAAACCAGGTCTAAAACCAGGACTAAAAACCAGGACTAAAACCAAAACCAGGACTAAACCAGGGACTAAACCAGGACTAAACCAGGACTAAACCAGGACTAAAACCAGGACTAAACCAAGTCTAAAACAGGACTAAAACCAGGACTAAAACCAGGACTAAAACCAGGACTAAAAACTAACAGGACTAAAACCAGGACTAAAACCAGGACTAAACCAGGACTAAAACCAGAACTAAAACCAGGTCTAAACCAGGACTAAACCAGAACTAACACCAGGACTAAACCAGGACTAAACCAGAACTAAAACCAGAACTAAAACCAGGTCTAAAACCAGGACTAAACCAGAACTAACACCAGGACTAAAACCAGGACTAACCCATTCCAGGACTAAACTAGGACTAAAGTAGGACTAAAGCAGGTCTAAACCAGGACTAAAACCAGTGATCTCATATATAAAGCATTTCTCTATCAATAATATTTTTAATATGGTTAAGGAAAGACTGGACTTTTTATTGTCTTTAAGTAGAAAAAAGTTATTATGTTCAGATTTCCTCGTCTTTGCTACTTTACAACAAACAGTTTCTTATTCATGGAGATTTGGGCTCAACAGCCAATTTGAAGAGAACAAACAAGATCAACATTTGCAGGATGTGGTTGCTACATTCATGTAGTTTTAAAAAGCATGACAATATCAAGTAATCCAAAGTATTCAAATTATGTTACTCACTTTAAGTAATTAAATGGATTAAGTTACAAACTATATTTTGGGATATGTAATCTGTAATCTGTAGGGGAATACATTTTAAAAGTAACCTTCCCAACACTACAGATTAGTAATAGTAATAATAATGATGATACTGTGGAATGTAAATGACTGCATCTGTTAGTTTGTTAAACAATAAATGACTTTATAAAGTCATTTTTTTTGATCTGCCACAATAATGTAATAATGAATTTAAATGAAAATACCTCAAATTGAAGGCTTTTCTCAGCAATTTTTAGGTGAGATTAAAAAGAGATGAATTAGATTAATTAATTACAGATCATAATGAATTAATCTCTCAATTTTTTTAATCGCATGACAGCACTACTACTACTACTACAGCTATTGCTGCTACTCTACTACTGCTGCTGCTGCTGCTACTACTACTACTACTACTACTGCTACTTCTACTACTGTTACTACTATTACTACTATTACTTTTACTATCGCTGCTACTACTACTACTACTACTACTACTACTACTACTACTACTACTACTACTACTACTACTACTACTACAACAACTATTGCTGCTACTCTGCTACTACTACTACTACTACTACTACTACTACTACTACTACTACTACTACTACTACTACTACTACTACAACTACTGCTACTTCTACTACTGTTACTACTATTACTTTTACTATCACTGCTACTACTACTACTACAACTATTGCTGCTACTCTACTGCTGCTGCTGCTACTACTCCACTACCACTATTACTGCTACTACCACTACCACTACTACTACCACTACTACTACTACTACTACTACTACTACTGCTACTACTGCTATTACTACTACTACTATGGTTTTGACTGTACAGTATTTGGCTATTGTATCGTTCCCTTTTGAACTTTCTTCTAGTCATGTAGTTATTAGTTATTTTAATATCACTTTGGTGTACAAGTACTACAACATGGTACGTTTGTCGACAGGAATAGATAATATTATACTGAGCTAAAGAATCGGGAGTTATTCAGAGTTGCAGTTTACAGTGTGAAATCAGATCATCGTTTCATATTTAAGTCAGAGGAAAAGTAGTAAGTGGGCTGCTTCAGTAATTGTCAAGGAAATAATTGAGCCAAAACAGGAAATAAAAATGACCAATAAAAGTATTTTTGACGTATACTGCTGTAAAAAACAGAGCTTTAGAAATAACATGATCGTCATGACAACAGCTCGACTAAAATCACTGAATTCAACAAGACTAGTACTAATGTAGGAATACTACTACTATTACTACTACTACTGCTACTACTACTACAACTATTGC